ATTGCAACGGTGGACCTGTATGATGGCGCGCAACATTGTATGAGCACTGCGCGAAACATAGTCTGAAAACCTAACCTAACCCAAACGAAGTGAATACCTCAACGACTCCCCGAGTGCCACGGTGGATGCGCAGAATGATGCGCAGTGGTCAACTACGCAAACCTGATCTCACATAAACAAACCGAGCTTAATTTGATTTATTCATATTTGATATTCAAGAGTTCATCATTCGTTAAGTCGGTGTTGGGTGAATAAATAATATAAGGTAAAGCTGTCCCTGTACCGAAGGGAACGGAGAAGTTCATGGAGGTAGGCCTAGGCCCACTGGGGCTGTAGTGCCAAGGAAGAAATATTTGTCCTGTGCTTAACTAATTAAGCACTAAAGCGTAAAGGCGTATGGGGGAGTGGATATATAGATCCACATTTCCTTGACCTCGGCATTAGTTTGAGGTGAGTGGTCAGGTTCACCCTTTGGCCACTTTAACCCCGGGGAAAGAGCCCGAGGTACCCTTTGGACAGGAGGTTGGTAGGACCCCAGAGCCGGCCTCGACGACGTGCAAAAGAGAAAATTCTTTACACTTCAAGGATTCGAACTCCGGCCCCTCTGTCGTCAAGTCCGTAGTCAGTCTCTATACCTACTGCGCTATCGCGGATCATCGAATAAGTAACATATTAGCTATACAAGAATAGGAGGTTCAGACAGCTTCTAAGAAATAAATTTGCGATTTTCTAGAAAAACTGTGACTATTTTCATTAGATTTCAGTAGTTTATGATCGCCTCTCTTAATAAAACTGCATAGGTATTATCTTCAGGAAGGTAAGCTCGAACTCTTTATATAGTAAAGTACGTGCAATGTCTTTGCACCGATAAGTCAATCTTTTAAAACAGTTCTCAGAAGAGTTTTGTCTTCTGGGACATAACGACGTGTAGTCCGTTGAAAGTAAATCAGCGTTTCGGATGAATATGTAGTCTCCATCTTCAGGACCGAATAATAAGCCAAGAAAGAATCAAACGTGAAGGCTCGGCTTGCTGCCTTCTTCAGGACTATTTCTTGTTTGGTTTATTCTTCGACCTTGAAGATGAAGGCTATATATTTTGGTGACTTTTGGCGGACTGAAGACGGAAGTTCGTCAAAACCTACAAATGTTTCTCTGTTTCCACAGCTACCATCCAGCGTGGGGACAAGAAGATTGGAGACAAATGCAATGAGACGAAAGAATGTGGGTTCGATGGTGCCATTTGCGCAAAGGATAAGAAGTCCACCTGCCAATGTCTACTGGAACTTCCGGCCAGCAACCACATCGACAAGTGTGGTAAACGTATGTACCAAGTTGCAAGCAGTGTAATAGTCTCAAACAAGAAAGTTCGTGCACTTACCGAGGAACTGGCCGCGACACAGCTCAAGCGGTTAGTCGCTGGCTTCCCACCGCGGCGGCCCGGGTCTGGTCAAGTGGGATTTGTGGTGGACAAAGTGGCGCTGGGGCAGGTTTTCTCCGAGTACTTCGGTTTCCCCTGCCAATCTTCATTCCACCAATTGCTCCACAATCACCCTCACCTATCATCTGGGGCTAGTACAACAGGCCAGAAGTGGCCGCAGTACGAGGGACTTAGTCCCATCCCACTAGCAATAAAAAAAATGTGGAGCGCCCTCTCTGACGAGAGGACGGCTCTGTCTTTTGTATATGCTGCTGGTCCTTGCCAGCGCAGTCATTCTCAGGTCCGAGTCCCTTCGGACTCGTGACCATATTTTACTGTCTCAGATTTGAGACTTCCCTTTTCGTCGCCTCCTGAAACTCGCAGGGTCACGGTGGAGGTATTCGAACCTGCCTCCACACGGGTAAGACTTGGTTGCTCAAACTGTCTTCCTTACAACTCCTTTGCACGGACCTAGTAGAAAATACCGTTTCCAGCAGAACCTCTATTGTTACATATTTATTCGTTGCCACGGGAATGTCTTTACCGAGCCGTTGCCTGGAAAAAAAAATTGTACAGAGCCGTTCGCTAGTAACAGCTGTTTCACTGGCCACACAAATCTTGTTTGAGCAAATATGCCACAGAAGCTTTGGTATCGTATCCTGCCCGATACCTGCAATGTGTTCTCTCCATTTCACTCTAGCCTCGTCTTATTTGTCTCTTCTTTGTTGTTGTTGTTAAATGAAAATCAATTTTTGTTGTTCTGTTCTTCATGTCATCACTATTAACTAACAATAACACAATCATTTTATGAAGCAACGTAAATAAGAATACAAAAAACAAAGCAAACTCCGTGGACTGTAGTCCGCCATGCTATGAATGAATGTATGAGGGACCGCGACCTACAGTGGCCTATTGTGCTTACTATGCCAACCGGGCGACCGCCGCTTGTCGTCGAATTTAGTGCCAACTTTTGCGGATAGAGGGTGTCACGTGGTCAGCACAAAGGTCCTCACGTCCATTAATCTATAAGAATATTTTAAGAATTACGGCAACAATAACAATATTCATCACAGTGATACAGAACATTTGCGTACAAGTTAGGTGTATTTTCCATGTCTGCTGTTATAAAAGGATCAATAATTCATGCCGACACAGAGCCTAGTGCTCCCGTACGTCACCCTGTCGTGACACCACGCAGTCTAGACGGGGTCACTTCTTGCGAAACCGGGTTACATGCACAGTTACGATACGTTTTGAATTCAAGGATCAGATTTACATCACAATAAAAACAGAGATACAAACACAACAAAGAAATTTAACCCAAAACAATTTTAAATTGATGTTATTCTTCTGTTTATTTCAGCACTGTGCCAAATGGCTTATGGGTGAATGAAAGTATAACTCCACACATTCTTAACCTATCCATTAGACGGGAGATATTGCTGATAACCTGAACATCCTTCGCTTAGTGGGGGGTGGAGTCCAACTGGGTCCACTCGGCACGGCGGCCACTAATTGGCCTGTTGTAGCCTACCCCGGGTGATTATGATGATGGAGAATTGGGTGGACTGAAGATTGACAGGGGAAACCGAAGTACTCGGAGAAAACCTGCTCCAACGCCACTGTTTCCACTACAAATCCCACTTGACAAGACCCGGAATCGAACCCGGGCCGCCGCGATGGGAAGCAGGCGACTAACGGCTTGAGCTATGGCGCGGCCTAAGTTTTAGACTAACAGCAGTGCTTTTCGTATTGTAGCGTGTAGAACCGTTGCTACGTAACGACCGATAGATGGGCGGATAAACAGGGCCGTTTCTGGGCAACGGCTCCGTAAACAAATTCCAGCAGTAACAGACACGAAAGGAACAACAGAATAGTTGTTTGTATGTGTTCCGTACCGAGATGTTATAAGCAAGGTCAGAGCTTACTCAGTTCTATATGGGAGTCTGTGATCAGAGGACTTGTGCCGGAGGCAGAGGAATATTCATTATTGGAGCCGTTACCAGGAAACGTCTAGTAACAGACTGGGAACAATAGATTATGTGGTCTGGTGAACTGTGAAGTTTTAAAATAGCGATAGTGTTATAGTTAATTGTAGTTGTAACCTGTAAGTGGTCAATAAATTCATCAATCCAAACCCCGTCTACAGTCACTCATACATGTGACAGTGTTAATAAAATTTATCGGATTCTTCCGAAGTAGGCTACATTCTTCACGGATGGAAATGACTTTTCGTATCCTCTCTTGAACTTCTTTAATTGTGAAAATATGGAAAAGCTGCCCAACTTCCCTGAAGAAACATGTTATAGCCAAGCCCCGCTGGATGTAATTGGAACATTCCAGAGATATCAGGCACCCGGAGCACGGACTTCCCCTGCCGACGCACGCTAACAAAGCAAGGAAAGCAGCAGAGTTTGCGTGAAAATAATATGTAAACAGAAACAGGAACCAGGGCTCACTGACGGTTACCATGCAATCGATAAGACGGAGTCCAACGTAAGGTGGACCCTAGGTGCGTCGGTTACCGGAGCCAGCCGGGGCACTTCGGTTTATCGGGAACTACACAAAACAAAGGAACATCAAAATGCTACATCACACCACTGTCAGTATAGCGACTAGCTACTGGCTGGACAACCGAGGGGTCCGAGTTCGAGCCCTGGTGGGGCAAGAATTTTCAATTCTCCATGTCGTTCAGACCTTCCAAATTTTTCCAATTCATTACATGGAGCTCAATCACCAAATAAAATAAACTGGCAGGTACAGAGACATAAAAGACGAAAAACAAACGTGGCAAATCAACACAATACCATGGAGGTTGGTGAACTACCGACAAGAAATAGATATCAAGTACTCACCAATAACACTCAAGACGAGTCTGGAGACAACGCCGGCACCACAAGTGAAACAATCCCCAAACCTCACGCAAAACCTCCCCGAATATTTGTGTATGATGTAACAAACTATCCAAAGATGGTAGAACAACTAAAAGAAATTGCTGAGGTAGAGCACTATAGTACGAAATCTCTAGCAAACAATTGCAACACGCCAGAAGTATACCGACGAATGATAACATATATGAAAGAACGCAACATAATGTACCACTCCTATCAAATAAAAGAAGACCGTGCATACAGAGTCGTCATAAAATATTTACACCCATCGGTCCAGACAGCAGACATTGCCACTGAATTATTGCAACACGGACACAAGGTAAGAAACATCATTAATGCATGTCATCACAGAACTAAGGAAAGTCTAAATATCTTCTTTGTTGATCTGGAGCCAAGTGATAATAATAAGGAAGTGTACAATATAGACCGACTTCAAAACAAACTTATTCGCATAGAACCACCCAGAAAATTCAATACTGTAATACAGTGAACTAGGTGCCAGTTATATGGACACTCGAAGACATATTGTAACAGACCATTCCTATGTGTCAAGTGTGGAGGAGCTCATAACTCAACTACGTGCAAAAAGAGTAACAATACACCAGCAAAATGTGGATTATGTGGAGGATCGCATCCTGCAAATTATAAGGGATGCGACTATTATCGAAACATAAAGAGAAGCAATAAAGTGATNTGTGATATTCATTTCGGGGAATGTTTCGTGCCATTCAGTCCAGAAACTTTCGTATTCTCGTCTGATGTCTGAAAACGTAAAAATTGGAATATAGGGAACTACAATTTCGCCTGTTGTTCTGTATGTGTGTGGAACTTTATCTCTGACATTAAGGGAGGAATATAGACTGAGGGTGTTTGAGAACAGGGTGTTGAGGAGAATATTTGAATTGAATAAGCGATGAAATGAGAGGAGTTTGATTTGTTTCATTCTGGTCCGTCACACTAACAATTACAAATATAAATCACTCCGTCCAATGTGACCTGTAAGTTTTCTACTACATGAAAACTTAACACCCTTACATGTTTCGGTCTCTGTGGACCATCTTCAGAGGGCAAACATCACTACAAATAGGAAACCACCATCACATAAGTTGTTTAGACGTAAAGCACGTACACTTATATGCTACAATACATAGTACACAAAATAGAACATTTCACAATCACAGCAGTTTCCTGGGAATGTAAGTTTTAAAAAATTGTATAAAATNGCACTTATATGTTACAGTACATAGTATAGAACATTTCACAACACAGCAGTTTCCTGGGAATGTAAGTTTTAAAAAATTGTATAAAATTCCTTGATGCTAATTAAAAGTTTTTTAGATTGTCAATAATTAAAATTCGTAAACCATGCAGGCTCGTGTTCGTCCTCCCATCGTCTCTCAATATGGGGCAGATATTGTGCCACCTGGCTATCCTGATGTGGAGGTTCTTTATATCGTCCAGGGTTTGCTCGTGGCTGCTGTGCTGTTTTCACAGTGAAAACAGCTTCATAACTTGTACTCTTCTCCAAGTATAATCAGAATGATCAAGTCAGGAAGGATGAGATGGACAGGGCATGTAGAACGGAGAGAAGAGGAATGCATGGTGGGAAAGCCTGAAGGAAAGAGACCATTAGGAAGATCAAGACGTAGGTGGGTAGACAATATTAAAATGGATCTTAGAGAGATAGGATGGAATGGTATGGATTGAACTGATCTGGCTCAGAATAGAGACCAGTGGAGGGTTCTTGTGAACACGGTGATGAACTTTCGGGTTCCATAAAATGCTGGGAAATTCTTGAGTAGCTGCACAATTGGCGGCTTCTCAAGAAGGGCTCAGCTCCATGGAGTTTATTAGTCAGTATCGTGACTATTTGGCGAGATAAGATGACTAATGAATGTGGAGCGACTCGTGAATTATGAATTGGCAGGGTATACTAAAAGTACTTGGAGACAATTTACAACATTGCTACTTTTTCCGCCACAGATCCTACATAACCTGATCTGGGATCAAAC